CTAAAACGATGGTGAATCACCCATTTCCAACTCTTTTGACTGACCAAATCGTGCTCAAACTGATAGTGGAACACTTCTTCTACACGTATGCATCGGTTGGAACCACCAAAACGCATTGGAAGACGCGTTTCATTAAGGGCAAAGTTGGAAGAAAACCTGTTTTTCTGCAGGCATCCCAGGCGCCTGGCGCCTCCCATGATACTTTTTCGTCTTTTTGCTTCTTTTGATTAATTTGCACTCCCAAATGGTCCTAAAATGTCATAAATACAATATAAGCCATCCACAAACCATAGTATATGAATTTTGCATGAATTGGAACTCAAACGATCGAGAAAAAGTCCGAAACAAAGCTGAAACATTGTAAAAACAGCATCTAAAACCTTCTTTTTACGCATGTAAACAAGCGTAATCAATACTCACAAAGAAGAAAACGCTAAGAGAGTATGAAACTGTAGCAATGACCAAGACCTGCAGCACCATACTCACGAGCAAAATTCCTTCAATGATGAAAGATCCTGAGAGTTTTACCATACCAGTTTCGATTGGAGGACAAAAGATAGGACTTGCCTTGTGTGATCTAGGTGCCAGCATCAACCTCATGCCGTTATTAATTTATAATAAGCTGGGCATTGGAGAAGCAAGACCCACAACAGTAACATTGCAGCTGACGGATCGATCCAGCACGTACCTAGAAGGAAAAATTGAAGACTTTCTGGTACAAGTCGATAAATTTATTTTCCCTGCTGACTTTATTATTTTGGACTATGATGCAGATAAGAAGGTCTCTATTATCCTTGGAAGGTCATTCTTAGCAACTGGGAAAGCATTGGTAGATGTCCACAAGGGAGAGTTGACAATTCGTGTTCAAGATCAAGAAGTGAAGTTCTCAGTGCATGATTCCATGAAGTTTCCTGCTGAATCAAAATAATGCTCGGTATTAAAGATTATGGATGAAACATTAATGAAGGAATTGGAAATAAAAGCTATGCTAGAGCATTTAAAAGCGCTTGATGCAGGTAGTGTTATCGACGAACTTGAAGAAGAACTCGAGGATATCCAGTTAGAATGCATGAATGCCAGTGAAGGATTGGTGAAATGAATGCATGAGTCCTTAGATCTCACGACCCCTGAGCTTAGATTATTGAAGCCTTCTGTTGAAGATACGCCAGTGCTGGAGCTTAAAGCATTGCCGCAGCATCTGAAATATGCTTACTTGGGTTTGTCAGAAACATTGCCTATTATCATAGCAGCGGACTTACCCTTGGAGAAGGAGCAAATTCTGTTGAGTGTGCTTACGGCACATCAGAGAGCAATTGGTTGGACTATTGCTCATATAAAAAAGATAAGCCCCAACTTCTGTATGTATAAGATAGTACTAGAGGAGGATTGTAAGAACTCCATTGAGCCCCAGCGTAGACTAAACCCAGCTATGAAGGAGATGGTGAAGAAAGAAATCATCAAGTGGTTAGACGCAAGCATCATATACCCAATCTCAGATAGCGAGTGGGTAAGTCTAGTGTAGTGTGTGCCTACGAAAGGGGGCATGACTGTAGTGGAGAATGCAAAGAATGAGTTGATACCCATGAGGACAATAACTGGATGGCGTATATGTATGGACTATTGTAAACTGTACAAAGCCACCAAGAAGGACCACTTTTCTCTCTCCTTCATTGATCAAATGCTGAACAGACTTGCAGGTCAGGAGAACTACTGTTTTCTCGACGGGTACAGAGGGTATAATCAGATTATAATAGCCTCACAAGATCAGCAGAAGACGACATTTACGTGTCCCTACGGAACGTTCGCTTTCAAACGAATGCTATTCGGGCTTTGTAATGCCCCAGCAACGTTCCAGAGGTGCATGATGACCATCTTTTCTGACTTGGTAGAATCAGTAGTTGAGGTGTTTATGGACGAATTTTCAGTCTTTGGAAAGTCATTTGCAGAATGCTTGGATAATCTGAAGAAGGTACTATAAAGATGTGAAGAAACAAACCTAGTATTGAACTGGGAAAAATATCACTCCATGGTGTATGAGGGAATTGTGCTGAGGCACAGAATCTCCAGCAAGGGCATAGAAGTAAACAAATTGAAGATAGAGGCAATAGAGAAATTGCCCTCACTTGTGAATGTCAAGGGCATCTGCAGTTTCCTGAGACATGTCGATTTTTATTGTAGATTCATAATGGATTTTTCGAAAATCTCTAAACCTCTGTGTTCTTTGCCTGAGAACGATAAAAAATTTAACTTCACATCTGACTGTTTGTAGGCGTTCAAAACACTGAAACATGTTTTCACCCATGCTCTGATAATGACAGCACCAGATTGGAACCAGCCCTACGAATTACTGTGCGATGCCTGTCACAGAAAATGCTTACCGCAAGTGTATGAGTCAAGTTTTAATAAAGTGGTAAGTCAATACCAATATCGTCCTCTGTATTGCGTTTCTAGATCACTCAAGTACCACAGATACAATCGCTCCATTTTATTTAGAGAATCAAAATCAAATTGGAGAATACAATCAAAGAAAATAAACATACAATAACAAAGATAAAAACAACGGGGAGAAAAGTCCTAGGGAATTGATTTCACCTATTGAATCTATGAACCAACTACTTAATTACTCAATATTGAACAAATTATTAATTCTATAGGCCAAGAACCCTCAAATCTCAACTGCCTCTCCCGAGCGCAAGCTAATTCTCCTTACCAATTATGAAACCAATATCCTTATCTAGTTTCTATAACAAGTAAAGGTTATTGGACAAGTTTTTTAACAACCTCTAAATAACTTCTAAATCTCCCGATCTTAAAACCCGTTTAGTTATGCATCCATGTTCTAACTCTAAACCACCTCTCCCGAGCGTAAGATTTCAAGTCTAAAATCAATCAATATATGGCCAGTAGATTTAAGTCATTAAGCATAGAGAAGCATAAGTAGAACATTCACAAACATTCAATCAAGAAAACTAAACAATCAATGCATAAAGTTCAATGGCTACATCAATCCCTAAGATAAGAGGTTAGCTTCTCATATTCAATGGAAAACAATAAAATCACAATGAGAAATCCATAACAAAACTAGAAAAACCAAGAGAAAGGAGAAGAAACTATGTTCCGCGTGTCAATCGTCCGTTCCCAAAGCCACCTCCACGATCCCGAGCCTTGAAAATCACTTTTCTAAGCTCTCCAATGACTCCTTGCCCTCCAAATTGGCCAAAAAGCCAAACTTCCAAAAAACCTCTTGTAAACTCCTCCCTCTCGGTGGCAGCACAACCGTATTTTTACAAAAAGTTGTTGCAGCAGCGCCATGGTGCTACACACAGGGCCATGGCGCTATACTATTCACAAAACGTGAAATTTAAACTTCGGAGCGCCGCAGCGCTCTAGGCTAGCGCCGTGGCGCTATCTTCTCTGGTTTTTGGCTTCAAATCTTGTTCTTATTCCATCTTGATCACTTTGATTCTAATTTTCTCTCATTTTGATCCAAATAAATCTTGTTTCCTCCCGATACTTTATTCCTGCAAAATATATCTTATGTACTTAAATTTGTCATGAAGAAACGAAAACTAACAAATAATTTCAATTTAAATCTCATGAAATGTAGCTCACAAAGTGTGCTACCAAATACCCGCAAACTTGGCTTTTTTGCTTGTCCTCAAGCAAACATAACTACTTTAAATCCAATGATTCTCATGTATAATACAGAAAAGTTAAAGGGTGTAAATCTCATCTTATCAAATTCTCCCCACCTAAATCATGTTTATCCTAAATATATCTTAACTCAATATACTGAATCCTCTTTCTAATCCTCTTTTATCTTTTTTAATAACCAATAATACAAGTAAAGTCAATCACACATCTATGAGATGAATCAAAATGACAATCAAGAGAATTAACAATGGTAGGATATAATTTTTAAAAACTCAAGAATTTCATTAACTCATTGAAATCAAATGCAAAGACTTAACACCCTCACGGACTTTCACTCAAATCTCTCAAAGTGTTTTTAGGGTGTTTTTACTCTCAAACCAAAACAAAGCATGTTATTATCATAGGCTTGCAAATGAATCAAATCTCCCTACTTAAAGATGAATTGAATGTAAAAATTAAAAGGACTTTAATAATGGTTGTAATGGGGCTTAGGTAAGGGTGAGATAAAAGGAATTTGAGAGGCTCAAAATCAACACAAAGGAGATATTAGATTGCATGCTAACTACAATGTACTGAAGCCAATGAACAATGAATACAATGCACCATTAAACACTAATACTCCTTGAGAAATACAAGAATCTATTGCTGCTTGAAAGATATTTCTCCAAATGATTTCTCTACAACACTCAACAAAGAAGAATATACCCTTATATACACTTTTTTTTTTCATTTTCTTTTCAACCATACTTCTTTTCTCTTTTTTCTTCTTCTTCTTTTTTTCTCTTTTTTTCCATTTTAGCTTACAAATCTGGGTTGAACCGAAACAAGTTAGATCATGCAACTTTTGCTCCTTATCTTGACACTGGTAAAAAGAAATATGGAGGATAATATTCGAAACAGGCCTCAGGGTTAATAAATGTGTTAATTCCAAGAAAAAGAATGGGAAATTAGGCTCAAATATGGCTCTCTAAAGAAAAATATAACAAAGTATGCTCTTTAGAAGTCTCAAATTGTGGGTAAGCATAAATTTCCCTTATCATATTAAAACACAAATTCAAACAAGTGGTCACAAAATGCATTCACCAACAAGTTCTAGAATAAATATGCCAAGTTCGATCACACACAAGAATAAAAATGAGCAAGATGTAATGGATTGCTCTAAAGCTCAAATGCATTTTTCAACCAAGAAATAATGAGATACCATCATGTAATTTATAAAACAGAATCAATCATGCTTATCTCCTTCATGCATAAGAAATCAAACTCAAAATGCGTTCATAACTTACAAAGTATTCAAGGGTATCAATCAAGATTCAAAGTTTCGAAAGGAGAAATCAGCACATATGAATCATGATACATACTGAGTCAAAAGCATGAAAAAGATGACAAAAATCTTCACCCCCAAACTTAACGATTACATTGAAAGGTAGATATAGCACAACAAACATGCAACATAACATCCATCAAGCTAATAAGCGGTCTTTAATCAATCCAAAATACAACAAATCCCTCCAAACTTAAAAATTGCATTGTCCTCAATGTAACAAAATATACGAATGGAGTAGACAACGAGGACAAAGAAAATGAAAAGGGGAAAGAACATTCTGCCCTGAATTTAATATCAATATTCCATAGCTCTAAGACGTCTAGACACACCACCAAAATCTACATTAAGCCTTTATGAAACACAAAAAGTAATGAGAAAAAATAAATCTAAAGAAACTAAGATAACATAAAAACAAAAACAAACTGAAAAAAAAGTTTGGATTGCCTCCCAAAAAGCGCTTTATTTAACTTCTGTAGCTAGACGTGGCTCTCTTTTATTTTATTTTTCTTAAGGTGTATAAAACTCCTCAATTTTGTTGGGTCCCTTCTTCCTTGAATCGATGTATCCTACTAGCTCTAGTAGGCTCATTTGCTTTTCATGGGCACCTGAAAGAGAGAAATTTTTATAATATAAATTAGGAAGGTTAAAGAAAAATAAATCAAAATCATATTTACAAGACTCTTTAGGATAAAGAAAGAAAATATGAGAATTAAGAGAATTTTCAAAGGATAAAATAGGAGTAGGCTTTTCAGCCTCTTCCTTTATCACTTGAAATTCATCTTCCAAATTAGGCTCATGTTCTTTCTTTATCACACAAAACTATACTTCCTGGTGTTGCTCAAATTTTTCCAACTCAATCCCACTGTCAATTCAAATAGCTTCACGGGTTTCTGCCTGCTCAAAGTTCTCCAACTCATCCCCACTATCAATGCATACAACTTTATAAG